ATTCATAAAGGATTGTATTGACTTATGTGGTCATACTATCATTTTTCTCATTTTTTTTTCTCATAACGCCCAATTAAACCATGAGAAGTGTCAGTATCAGTTCTTTTATATCAGAAAAAGTTATGAGATTATCTATTAGTTTCCTTCCACAACTAAGAATATAAGGAATTTCGTTGGTGTTGAAATTCAAGGAATTGTGTTAGATTTTCAGGCAATGTTGGATCAACTACCTTCATGACTAAATAGATTCAAATTTAGATAACCTATGATGATTGATCAATAAAATAACTAGGGTATGCCTAATCGTCTAGAAATGTCTTAAATATTCTAGAATCTAGTTTGAGCTCTTTCATTCCCTTGGTATGTTAGTTGATGTTGTTTCATATGCCCTTATTATTGATTAGCAGTTGTCTATTGGGATACAGTGATATACCCTCTACCTTTTGGCTTGATCTGACTTTGAAACAAATAATAACCTTTGCTAAAATGGTAGTATTATCCCTTGATATTCCTATTAAGATATTTTAAAATATAAGCAAAGTATATTTAATCAAGATTATTCTCGGGTATCCCCCAAGATATAACCACTCTATTAAATAAATTCTTTTATGAGTTCTAATATACCTAGAACAAATTATAAATTTGATTCTCTAGTTATATACATTATATACATGCAGAATTATTATAAGATTTCTTTATAAATTCACTTGGATTAAAACTTGGTCTAATGCATATAGACATTTGATTCTAACGTCTATCATGAAGATTACCAAATGAAAATCCTCCATACGATTTTAATTATTTATACATTTCATTCTTCTCTCTCTCTTTTCTAACCATTTCATCATATTTGTCCTTAAATGGAGGTGATATGTGGATTTTGAATAAGAGCTTGTTTAAGAAGGAAAATTAGAATGAGATATGATGAAAAAAAGGGGACAAACATCAATGTAAATGAGCATAATCAACTAATATTAGGTTAAATTACATATTTAAGTCAGGAGTGAGATAAAAAACATAAAACCTTATCCTCCCAAGATTCCAATGTAATATATAATAATTTTGGGAATAAAAGTATAGAAAGTACAAAAAAAACAAAATGCTTATATTCTTAATATAGGAAAAAACTAGATAACTGACTTGTTGGAGAATTTGATAGGCCCCGTAGTATGTCATTTGCATCAATAATCATAGGTGGCTTGTTAAACTTGGTTAACATATGAAGTTTGGTATTAGTAGAGATGGAGCCATCTATGAGCCTTAGTGGATGATCCTTTATGATAGGGTTGTGAGTATGCCTTACTAATGGTAGGTAGACACCATGAACTCAGATGGGTGAGTCAGTTTGCCTTAAGGTTTTCCTACGTTCTACTGTTTTTGTAACCAAGCTATGAGTCCACATTTAACTTTGTATGCTAAATTTGTGCTAGTTGTCACTATTAGATAGGTTGCCTTCTTTAACTATATATAATTCTTACATCATAGCCACATGATTGCATATGATTAAATCTTAGTGAACTTAACTATAGACAATTTTGTCACTATAATGTTTAAGATTTGTTAGAAGAGTCTTAGCGAACATAAATATGTCATTGAAAATTGTCTTCCATATACTTTATATGAAGCATAGTTAGAGGAGAACATTTATGAATTTTAAACATACATTGACATAAATAATGCTCAATTTATGTGGCACATAATACACATTCTTTTATACTCCATAAGTTTTGGGATTTTTACACACTCATCCACGTTCTTGAGATATATGTGATATCATATCATATTGTTTTAGTATAACTTTTATTAATGACATATAAAAAATTCTTTTTTATTTTTTATCTTGTTATCATGTTTACGGCTCCTTAATATATGTTTGCACCTTTTTAAATTAATAAGTATTAGTATTATGCACATTTAATAATGAGTGAGTTTTCAACACATGAATTTGGTATCTTTTTTACTTGATATTTTGTTGTATTTAGAGCCTTTAAAGGAAATTTAATGATTTATGATCATGTTTAACTCATAATTAGAATAAAGTAATTTTTTTAGCATCATTAAATTAAGATGGATTATGGATTTAGAGTTTCTTTAGTGTTAATGTGTAGATTAAGGAAGCCTAAATGAAATGATATAGATGTTATGTAGATAAGACATTGTGAGATAACATTATAATTTGTATCTTAATGCTAGGAACAGTTGCATGATGCAAGCAACTAGCAATTTATTTTTTAAAATTCTAAGTTAATTAAGGTTTACTAAAGTTTATTTATTTTTTTAAAATTTATTAAAGTTAATTAATAATTTTGTTGAATTTTACTTAATTTTTATTAATTAATGTTTCAATTAATTAATACTTATTAAACTTCATTTAGGTTAATTAAAATTTATTAAAGTTTATTAAAGTTTGTTAAATTTTATTATGATTTTGTTTAAAGTTAAAGTTAGTTGAAGTTGATTAGATTTGATTATAAATTTTTAAATTTAGTTTTTAGGTTTGAATTTTGGTTTAATTTTAGGATCTTTGAATTCATAGGATTTGGGTAAGCAATTTAGGATTGAAAATAAAAATTTTGATATTGTGCTTAGCTGATTTGAAATTTGGATTGGAGCTGATTCAAAGTTGAGTTGATTTGGGGTCTGGTTGGGATTGAGCTTGAATTAGGTTGAGATTGAGTTAAATTGGAATTGATTTGATTGGGTTGAAATTGAGTTGAGCTGGAATTGAGTTTGAAGATTGAGCTGGGGTTGAGAAGTGAAGGGGATTTCAAGATGGATGTGAAGTCCTAACCTATAATGAATTTAAAAAGGACACTAATAGATGGACTAACCTAATTTTTGGGAATAATTCATCCTGTCATGATGCCCTTGACTTTCCATCATCCCAGACACATTACAATCCTTAAACTATTAACCAATAAAATAACAAGAAATCTCACTTATTTTCAAAACAATAACTTAAGGTAATTGTTCTATTATTAATTTTTTTGGGTACCCTCATCAGTACTATGAATTACTTCCTCTTAGGGCACTCCTATAATCCAAGGGGATACGTCATTTTTTTATAGGTCATAGTCTTTAATTAAATTTATTGGGTACCTAGTTTTCTGACTTAGGGTTCTAAATTATACTACTTAAGGGTGTGTTTGGGACATAAGTTTTCGTCTACGTTAGTTAACCTAAGGTTCACAGTTTTGATCTACATAGGTTGTGGTTGTGAGAATTAAAGTTGGTTGATTTTAATTATTTTAAGGGGTTGATATTTAACTCATGACCTATTTAATTCTTAAGTTTGTCGGTTGTGGTGAAAAATCAAGGTTCTTCTAAAGGTAAATTTTTTTTTTTAGTTTGTCAACTAGTTCATATTTCAAGGTTCTTCTAATTTTTTTTTGTTTTATTAAGATTTTTATCCTAAGTGTTGTTGTTTCTCATTTCTAATTTTGATATGTGCTTGAGCCTTAT